CTCTCTCTCTCTCTCTCTCTCTCTCTCTCTCTTGCTCTCGTTTTCGAAGGAAAGACCCTGCGTGAATTTAAGTGATAATTACCCATGCGCGATGAGCAAAACCGTCTAACGGAAAAGACATTGCGCGCCTCTTGATGCACGTCATTAATTAAGCTCCTGCGGCACACATCGAGACGAGCCCTAAACAACCTTATCGCGTCCGCGATCGATCTCCCGCGAAGCGTGTTGCCCATCTCCCTACCCCTTTCTCCGGTAGCACGCTAAAGCTCGGTTCGCGGCAAGGAGCCTGACACGGTTACCATGGAGTTATGTAAATCGCCGGATTACTCGTCCCTGCAAATTGGAAATCGTAGGGGGGAGAGGAATCCAAGCCCGCCTCCTGACTATCGCCTCCCGGCTGGATGAGACCGGCGAAATGGGGTGGCTCGTGGGTGTGTGTGTCTGTGTGTGTGGATACGTGTGTATGTGTAAGGTGCCGTGCACCATCCCCGCGGAGTTACGAGCGCACTAACCCGCACACCACCACCGCATCGAATCGTCCCCTGGGCCACGTTACACGCATTAGCTAAACGGCGGCTCTGATTGGCCCGCCTCCATGCCCGGACGTTGATGATCCCCGGAACCTCCTTTACCACGGGGAGAAGGTCAAAGTGGGGTGTGCTCGACCTCGTCGACCGGGAATGCCCGAGGAATTCTTACGTAAGAGAGAAAACGTGTTAACGTTCTTCGCGGTTTTCTTCCACGGATCTCTTTCCTCTCGCGCCAATCTTTCTTTCTTGCACGCTGGCCAACTGTTCGTCTAATTAATATTGTTGAATGGCCAGTACGTTGCGAAACATATCGGAAAAGAAAGCGTTGTAGCTTTGCTTGTTCGCAACGCACTCTGTTCTATGGACGAATTCGTTTTTTAACTTTCTGAAGATTTTTTTATTTGATCCCGGATGCGTTCTGAAGTTTATCAAGGTAAAAATGTTGCGATCTTTCTTCCATTGACTGAACTTGTATTAACAGTCGTTACTTGCGACTTGCCTCACATGAGATACTCAGATTTAAATTCAGAGTTAATCTGAGATTTTCAGTCAATCCCTCAAGTGTGTGTGTTCGGAAAAATTTCGTGGTAATATTAAATTCCTTTTAATTTACTTCAAAACTATTGTATTTTTTTTTAATTCGTAGCAAATACAAATAAAAATTGAGTATATCTTGTATTTCATTTTTCAAAATTCTTCAAAGAAAATAGCAATGAAAAGAAAAGAAATTTAGATACGTTTATTAAAAAGAACTTTGTCCTTCCGACATTATAATATTAATAATGTCGTTGCTTGAAACTTCTCTCACTTGAGATATTCAAATCGGAATTTAGAGTTCTGAGATTTTTAGTAGAATCATGACATACGTGAAGTTATACTTGTAATTATGATTCAGCTGGAAAATTTACATCTAGCTTTAGATTCAAATCTAGTTTCATTCGAGATAAGTTTCAAATAAAGGCTATTAATACAAGCGCATATTTATATGCGATTTAACTGGAAAATTTATACGCGACTTACATCTAACTCTAAGGTCCGTATAAATAGCCATTAATTGTAACTTATCTCAAATAAGATATTCAGACATAAGTGCAAAGTTAGATGAGAGTTTTTCAGTTAAATCGTATATAATTACAGATATATAAATGTTACGTATATCATAATTCAATTGAAAAATTTGGATTCAACTCGAAATAAAAATCTAAGTATCTCTCTTGAGACAAATTTCAAGTGACAACTATTAATACAGACTATTAATTCAATTTTAAATATCTCGTTTGAAACAAACTTCAAGTAACCACTATCATAGACCGGAATGACGGCTTTCGTTTATGTCAATTGATATCGATCGATCGAGGAGTCAAAAAACGATGCGCGAGATTGATGTGAAGATAACGTCGCGTCTGACGCGAGATTGCTTAATGGCGTTAATGAGGATTAGGTTATCTGGAATGAACGTTTATAAATCTAGTTATTAATAGTTAAGGGCATAGTGGAGCATCATGTTATCGACTTCCTCCAGTCTCTTCACCTCAGTCGATGCGGATACTACCTTTGACGACATTTTAATTTATCTGGGTAATGAAATACTATAATAAATTTGTCATCTCTTCGATTCTTTTCGATATTTGTATCCTTCTTCTATCCTCCTCTTTTCATCTTTACGTCTTTTCGTTTACGCCTTCATTTTTCCTTGTCAGGCGAGTTTGGGACTTATCAGAAAATCCTCTTCATGATGCTGATGTTCTTCAGCAGTTTCTTGGTCTTCGTTTACTTTGTTCAACTGTTTATCACGGTGGCGCCTGCGGAATACTGGTGCAAGCTGCCTCATGTCGAGGAAATAAGCCCGGAGAGATTGAAAGAACTGTTGATACCCAAGTCCAAAGCGGTGCCTTACGAAGGACATCAGTTGCCTTACTCGAGATGTTGGATCTACGACGTGCCCGTTAATAAAGTCACCCTGGTCGATCAACTCGGCGAGGATTGGCCCATGAGAAAGTGCGACGAATGGGAATTTAAGTTCAGTCGCACTGATGTTCCTTACGCCTCCATAGCGACAGAGCAAGGATGGGTAAGCAAAGAAATACTCTCACTGGCAGAATTGACCTCACAGTTGAAATTAAACGTTCTCTCTAGTTACAATGATAGTGATAAGAAATTCTCCGAATATTTACTCCTCTTTTAATTCCACTTACTATTTTTTTTATCGAGCTCGACTATAGTGTTAATGATGATGATCTTATATGTATATTACTACTATCAATTTATGTTAGAATAACAAAAAAATATGATTGGGTGAAAAATAACTATAGTTTTAGTTAGATTAAGCACTTTTTCCTCTTAGTGAAATAAAAAGAGAAAATGTGCATCTCGAATTACAGTTATTTGCCGTATCATTTGATAAATTAATCATCGGCTAAGTGTTTGTACGTAAATCAATGGAAATCTTTGCAGCAATCAATGTTGTGTTAACATTTCCTTCTTCAGCTGTGCGACGCAGCCTACAAGACGACCTTGGCGCAGAGTATCTTCTTCGTCGGCGCCATTTGCGGCGGCTTTCTCTTCGGCTGGTTGTCCGACAAACACGGCCGCATCCCGGTGTTAATCGGTACGAATATGATGGGATTCGTCGGCGGCGTCAGCACGGTATTCGCCGCCACCTTCTGGCAATTCTGCCTTTGCAGATTCATCATCGGATTTGCCTACGACAACACGTTCGTCGTCGCCTACATCCTCATGCTGGAATACGTAGGGCCTAAATGGCGAACGTTCGCGGCGAATATGTCGCACGGGATATTTTACTCCCTGGCGGCGATGTGCCTACCTTGGATCGCTTATGGCATTTCAGATTGGAGGACCTTTGCTTTGGTGACGTCGGTGCCGTTAGCATTCGTGATTTTCACGCCATTTATTATCCCGGAAAGTGTCAGGTGAGAGATCATATAAGGGAGATCAGAACTATATGGCCCTAAGGGTATGTTGTTTTTTTTAGTATTTATCTCGAGAAAAATACAAAATTACGAAATAATCTCTTTTGAATATAAGCACTTTTCTCTGAGTTTCCTTAAAATTGGAGTAATATTACAGTTAAGAAATATAAAAACTGACTTGGTAATAGCAAAGTAAATTTTTAAACCTCGAAATTTTGTATCAACCCTTTGCACTTAAGAGACGAGTCTCAGTTGTCATTTGGTTTGATATAGTAATTTGAATGACGAACAATAATAGTTTACGTTTGATCTCCATAGTATTGAAATACAATAGTTAATTTATATGTGATTTATTTTTATGTTATAGCTATACAAAATTTCATCAACTCCTCATCAAAACAGCTTAGAGAATTATCAGTTTCTTATATAAAAAATTATTGAGTACGAAGTTAATATTCTCAAATTATGACTAAATAAAATTAAACAATGTGTTACTAACTAGAATGAAATTTCTTGCAAGCCTGTGATATATTGTTTCTGGTAATAAATGCAATTTTCACTCATAAAATGATTGAAATAGAGCACATGGGCGGATGAAATAAAGTTGACCAATAATTAACCCATTAACGCCCAAATATGCTGAAATTTTACGTTGATTTGAGCCATTTATTTTACTATGGAAATGAAGTCTGTTTTTATAAGGAGTACCATTCCTATCAATTTCGATGTCGTTCTATCGAATAGCGTTGAAAAAATTTAAAAAAAATCGCAATTTATGCAAAATTTTTGTAAAATAAAATAAAGGCATGTTTTTAGGACTAATTTTTTCTTCTTCCGCTATTTTCTCCATAAAAACGTATTAGTATCGCTCGAAAAAGTTTAAACTTGTTTCCGATACTTTAACTTACAAAATATGCCATGGGTATTTTTTTCAACAAACATGGCGGTACCAAAATGGCGGTCGATTGGAAGCGTTTAATTCGAATTTTCGTTTATATTACCGAAATTGTTTGAAAGGTCAATATTACTATAAAATTACATAGTAATTTACATAGTAATTACATAGTAAAACATAGAGTCACTCTAAGCAGAGTTTGGTCTTTACACGCGATTTCGTCAAAATCCTGCGAGAGAGGCATATTTTCAATCTCTCTCTTTGTCTATCTTTTTTTAACCTAACCTAAATTACTGCCGTAGACGTACTGTGATTGGATATTATGTGGGATTTGACGAAACATAGCGAACCAATTAAAAGTTTCTCCCTTATTGGCCAAACTCTGTTTAGAGTGACTCTAGTAAAACAATTTCTATGAGGATTTCTCGCGGAGACTTCGGAACTACTAATCAGGATGTACAAGGTGTCCCAAACTCTCCTTCTCACATTAAGTAGAAATGTAGAACGGGTTGAGGTGAACATAAAAGTCCCATACCGTTTTGCGATATTCGCAATATTAACCGAGAAATTAATGTAATTGTGAAAGATTAAGGAGAAACGCACGCTGAATGGTTGAGGGAGGAGTGCTCGCAACCCAGCCAGTGTGACCAGAAATCTCGCCCAGTAGCACCGGTAGAATTGAGAGGGGATGACGCACACAAGCGTGCTCGTGTACATGTGCACTTCGAACTAAGTTCTGGGACCTTATTCTCGAAAAATATCGCATACGATATTTTTATGAAAAACTATAGTTCATGTTACGTATATTATAGCTTTTTATCCAAATATCGTATACGATATTTTTCAAGAGTACGACCCCAGAGCCGACATCCGTGCGCTATATTAATTAGGCCGCGAGCGCTCCATCCTCAACCATTTAGCGTACGTTTTTCCTTAATCTTTTACAATTAATTTCTCGATTATTATTGCGAATATCGCAAAACGGTATGGGACTTTTATGGTCACCTCAACCCGTTCTACATTCCCACTTAATGTGAGAAGGAGAGTTTGGGACACCCTGTATATTTTATCTGGTATATTTCGTGGTCTTCTTTACTACTTCTGTGCTACTGGACAATTGAACCTGGTACCAGGGCCCTTATTCTTGAAATAGTTGCGTATACGTAAGTTTTACCGCGCAGCTATTTTATGGTATGATTAAACCTGCGCAGTAAAACTTATGTATATGCAACTATTTCAAGAATAAGGGCCCAGGACAAGATGGCTGTGTTGCTGCATGTTCGTATCTTGGTTATTACAAAACAAAATATATGATCAATAGGATCGTAGCGGACATTAATACATAAAAGAAGGTTACCATGTTTATACAGTTAGTCAATTACAGTCAATTAGTTGCCTGAGAAGTAATTTAATGCAGTTTTCGAGCAGTTATTGAACAGTTATGTTAGCTTTTGTTTGGTAACTGAAGAGTAAAACTACTTGGAATTCTAGTCAAGATGTAACACTTTTCAAAAGCTAACATAACTGTTCAGTAACTGCTCGAAAACTGCATTAAATTACTACCAAGCAACTAATTGACTGTAATTGACTAACTGTATAAACATGGTAACCTTCTTTTATGTATTAATGTCCGCTACGATCCTGCTGATCATATATTTTGTTTTGTAATAACCAAGATACGAA